ACTAGGTCTTTTAACAAAGAATCTCTTTTTTAAATGAATTTGTTAACTAATTAATTTCGCTCAAACCTAAAATATCATTTTACTATTTCCAATTTTTAACGATGCCCATCTTAATCAAATTGACCTAAATTTTACCCAAATATATTATTCTACTGTAGTGCCTTTTTGTCGTTTGATTATTGTGAACTCGCTATCTTGCTCTTCTTGTGATTATAATAGTCAAATTTATGAAGAATTTGACAAATAAATGTATAAAAAATATCATCAGATTGGACTACGTTATTTTGTAAGAGTTAAGATTGAACATGTCATTGTCGAATTAATGTAGCATTATTGTAAATATAAAAAAATTAATCATTGTATAGAACCCGAAATCAAATAGAACTGAACCCGAATTGTTTCATAATTAAATTTAGACCCTACAATTCCACTTACTTACTAAATACCTAAAAATTCCGATTTGGTTCGGTTCTCTTCATAATCGAACCGAACCAGATCATGTCTAGCCCTACCCATGACAATGATAATATGGCACAAATATTAGCAGGACGCAGGTATGCTTGTTTTATATACATAACATCTTGTGGAATTTATTATCTTAGAGTGCTCACTAATGAATCTATACCTCTTCATTACATGAGATACTTTGGACACAAACCGACCATCTTCCATAATGCTAAGAAGTTGTACATGCTATCCTTAAATCGAGATAACTTGATTTGGGGAGATTTTGCCTCCAAAGTTCGTACGTTCCAGAGAGGCTTCATGGGTGAGCCAAAAGAAGTAAGACGAGGCAGGGGCAAGTTTCACGAAAACTCATCTTCCCGTCTTTGTGAAGATTCTGTGGCGATACCAAAGATGGATGTGGATTTGCTAAAGCACGGAAATGGATATATCACCACTAAGAAAGACAAAGATATAACATCTAAAACTCAAAATATGGATGATGACCTAGAATGGTTTGATCTTGAATACGATGAAGATCCAAGTAATGAGCAAGAAAATGATGAGAAAAATGAGTGATATTGGATTTTGTGTACACCACAATATTTTTTTTTTTTCATTTTTCATTTTTACTAGAGTAAGAGTATGCTGTAAATTTATTGTGGTGTATTTATTAAAAATATATTTTAATTGTGGTGTACTAAGTAAATTTTGTGGAGGTAATATAATTACCCTTTAATATATTATAATTACATGATGTGAATATCTAAATTCTGACTTTATCAAGAAATGATTGCATTCACCTGGGCTTTTAGAAAGAGGCATTTCCCTTTCTTAGTGTGTCCACGTTGGGGTTGTAAATAGATCGAATATGGATCGAATCTGCTTACATTCAATTCGATAAGAATAATTATTCGACTCGATAATCTGACAGATATTTGACTGTTAAATCCATATCTATTTTCTATATTATTAGAGATCTGATCTGAAATTAAAGAAATTAGGAAAAAACAATGTTGGAATCAACTTGTTTTTTCCCAATTTTTTTTTAAAAAAATTATGTTTTGAATTTGATAATTTTTTATTTTAAATTTATTTATTTTAGTCACAAATAACATGCCATAAAATATTTTACCAACTCAATTA